TACCATGTATCCGGAAACAAATTCAAGGGCTTGCAGGACAGTGGTAACTAAAGTATCTATGAGTAATGCTCATAAAAGTGGTCAAAGCTCATTGTCTTTTAACAAAAATATAGAAAATGAGGGGTCCTTTTCAATGTCATGAATTAAACATGTATTAAAAAGTTTGAAAATCTTGTCAGGTTAATTAGCAAAGTATTTCAGATTTTGTTTGTTTGCTTTTCTGTTATTGATCTTTTAAAAAAGTTAATTCTTCCTTGGTTCAAGGGTGAGCCTTATTTCACTAATATTTGAAGCATAGGCATAAGAGAAATTAATTTATTCTGAGCTAATTATATACTCCATCAAAAATAGCTAACATGGTTCAATTTACATAATTTTTAGTATCTTTTATTTAGACAGTTAACAGATCCAAAAACTGTTTATTGCTGGAAAACATAACTAATAGGAGGATAGGGATGCTCATTATTCCACGGACTCCAAGATTACTGTGTACATGTAATCTATATGAACACTTTTCTGCAAAAGCCCTATGTAACGTGGCTTCAGTATAGATAAGGCATGTGTGTGTGTGTAATGATCATGGATCACAACTCTGGGCTCTTATTTCTTTAACTTGGAACTTCTCTCCCAGCATTTGCTCAGAGGTACAAACTATGTGTACCACTATCACCCAGCTTAAGTTCTTGAAGACCTCATTCGTTCATGCTTTTAGCTGACTGCTTTTGTTGTTATAGAATTTATTAAGTTTTTAGTCTTCTACAGAATTTCTCTTTTACCTAAATTTTTCAGTTAGGTAGCTGCTTGCATTGTATAAGCCCTCACCGTCATCAAATTTGAAAATATAGCTAGCCTTGGTCAAGGGCAGGGACTGTTCGGGGCAGGGACTTGGTTATATTTCCAGTGCTCAGAATCTACATTGAAAAAAGCAGTAAAATAAGTGGGACAAGGAATTTGCCCTGTGTACTGATTCATGCTAGTTTATTGATTACTAGCTTTTTGATTCATGCTGCAGGTATTTACTCAGGCCTCTTCTCCACCTGGCACTGCTTAGGCTTTGGGCATAAAGAGGTGGGGAAGATAAGGTCCTGCTGGCATCAGTGGAATCACAGGTGTGGGAGGCTGTAGGAATAGAGAAGCTCATTCAGTTTTACCTCAAGTAATGGAGATTTTTCTTGTAAGGATACTCCAGGATAAAAGAAGGCTTGAATCAGTTACACTTGTGATGGACTAGACCAATCTAGTGGAATATGGTTTGGGAGCTGAGGGAGTCTCTGGTTAGACAGTGTGAAGATGTTCATAGGAACATGGGACTCCGAGTATTCCACTGGAATGGCACTTAGGAGAAAGTCAACACTATTTAAATATTTTTGCATTTTTCCTTGAGGATTCACTAAGATCTCATATCTCTTAAAAATATTAGTTTAGTATAGTCTTAAATTATATTTCATGTTCCTCCAGGCAGATAATACATTTGCTATTTTTTTCTTCTATATATTCCTAGTTTCTAGTATTTGTGTGTGTGGATGTGTATAAATACCCTCACAGAATATTCATACAATAGGAAAATCTAAAGGTAGAAACCAAGAGTCTGAGAAAACTTAATTTGACTTGTCATATTTTAAAACATCTGTTAACTTCTTTTGAACTGGTACTGCTGTGTAGTTGTATATTTCAAAAGTGGTAATATTAAAACTGGTTACAGTAGCTTACAATAAATAAACATCAGTCTTACATTTGAATAGGAATTTATAGTTTACAGGCACTTCAAAAATGTTTCTTTATTTTCTTCACAAACCACCCCTGAAAGGAGGGCAGGTTTTTCTTTTCTTATTTTATAAGTTGAGAATTTAAGTCGGAGTGACGTGATTCATTCGGGGTTTCACAGACAACATCAGGGCCAGTAGAGGAGCCTAAACCTTCTGATTCCAGTAGGTGTCTGACCCTCTGCCCCAGCCCTCAATAGTAGGGACTGTCCGCAGTGCCCTTCCTCCTGCTCCCTGCCCTGCACTCAGGTTCCTGAGAGAGAGAACACCAAGTATACCCTGACCAGGGTGTACATTACTTTTATTTCGAGCAAGGTTTCTACCCTGAATCCCAGTCGTCTTCTCCATTTTAGTAGCTAGATTTAAAAATCTAGAAAAATTGTGAAAGTTACTGTTAGCTTGCCAAAATTCTGTGCAGGAAATGCATGGTTATTCCTTGCAAGTGGATGTGGAGGGATATGGATATGAAGGATTGGATTTTTGGTAATGGTTGTCAAAACCCAGTGTTTTCGTTGGCTGCTGCATACCACTTGCCTGGTGCACCCATCTTCTTAACTGCCTGACCCCGTGCCCCATTAACTATTAGAAAATGGAAATCATAGTCATTTAACCTGTCTACCACAATTTAAAAATTGATGTAATTTCTAGCAAAAATATAAAGAAGAAATAAAGGAAAGTATAGTAAATAAAATGTATTTAATATTGTATCACTATGTACAAAAGAAGACATAATGTAGTTAGATTCTCCCACTCACATGTGAAATCACTAGAAATGTGAAAGCTCCAAGTGTAGTCTGGTCAAGTATAATGTACTGACAATTCAGATACCCCAAGCGGCATTCCAGGAGTGATGTGAGTTTTTGAAATGATGAACATCTATTAGTAAAATTCCAAACAAACAAAATACAAAAAAAAAAAAAAAAGTCAAAATTTCTTTGGTTTATGTTGTAGTTGTGGAAAATTTGATGTATATTAAAACTGTATAAAATCATGTTTGTGTAAAACAGCATTAGGATCTATTTTCAGATGGTTATAAACTGACCTTTTTGCCAACATGAATGTCCAGTGGGATATTTAAAAGTAGTGCAGGACAAAAATTATGGGATTCAGGACAGTTCTTTGTTGTACTCTTCCACATGTCAAGAGTCCCCAACCCCCAGGCCGTGGACCGGTACTGGTCCATTGCTCGTTAGTAACTGGCCACGTAGCAGGTAGTGGGTGAGCAGGGGAAGCTTCATCTGTATTTGCAGCCTATTTGCAGCCAATCCCCAGCGCTAGCACACTGCCTGAGCTCCATCTCAGATCATCAGGCGTGAGATTCTCATAGGAGCACTGTGGCTCTCTGGTGCCAAAAAGGTTGGGGACCACTGATTTATGTTGTCTACCAAATACCAAGGATGTTCTCCGAATTATTGTGACAATTGAAAAATTGCCCCACAAACTTAGACTACACCTTCTAGATGGCAGTGTCACTTGTGTTGAAAATCTCTGCCTTCAGAAAGACATGGAAGACTCAGGGCCCTCAGGCCCCGGGGAGAACAAAGACTTCCCCAAGTTTCAACCAGAAGCTGGTAGTGCTGTGTTGTCATTGTCTAGAGAGGCAGGAGGAGATTGTTTCTACTTTGTTTTTTTCCCCCAAGGCCGAGATAATGCTTTTTGCCTTCATCTTGAGGTTATCAGCTTGCACTATCTGTCCTGCATTCCTGTGGTTGAAGCTTTTTGCATCCTCTCTGTTTCTTGTCCTTGTAGCTTTCTGGGGAGGCTTTCTTTAGACTAGGTTTGGAAGATGTGAAAAACAGGTTTGAAAGGATCCAAGAAAACTGATGGAAGTTTTTTTTTTTTCTTTTATGTGTTAAATATACATAACATACAATTTACCCAATGAAAAATTTTTGTATTAGTAATTTATGACTTTGCAAATATACAGCTAAATTATTTCGGTATATAAATTATGAGAATTTTCTCTCTTAATTTGGAAGATATAATTTTGCTGTAAACAGTAGTATTTTGATAATGGGGTTTGTGAATTCACAAAGTTAATCTTTAATAACAATGGAAATCAATATGGAGGGAAATATTTACCTATTGTATGATTTCAGAAATCAGTATATTTGCTTTCTCTTCTTTCTGAGGCAGCATTTTGGTGCTAGCTGTGCCTAGTTTCAAATTTCAGCTTTTGCCACAGGTGGCTGTGTGATCTAAAGCAAACTAATCAATATCTCTGAGCCTTACTATAAAATGTTCTCATCGGTAATATGGCACTGCTGATATTTAATTTTAATAGCATGGTTACAAGGATTAATGTAAAACATCTGACACAGTTTTCGTCTAGTACTTATTCCTGTGCATCCATATTTTTCATGCAGTACCATAGCGCTGATAAAAATTGTGGCTTCTTTTTTTACTTGACCTAGTTCAGTACTGTAAATAATTTTTATAATTACTGTTTTAAAAATATTGAAGTATTGGGAAGCATTGTAGTAGTATGACATTGTGCCACTAAAACATACAGTGTAGTACATGATGTTTTTTTCTGTGAGTAATATGAACCACAAATTTAACTGCTGCTCGCAAGAAATAAGTTTTTTAAAAACCTCACTTCTTGAAGTAACTGTAAGCAAAGCCAAGAAGCACCAGCAGAGTTGAGTTAAATCCAAAGAGTGGGCCCATGGTGAATTTACCAGCTGTGTGATGAACTACACGCCAGCCTGAAATCACAGCCTTCAATATACAGATTTGCAAGTCATGGACCTTTGAATTACAAAAACATTGTTAAAGCCACAAATCTTAAATCTAAGATTATCAAGGATATATTATCCTTCATGTAATGATGATTTCGGTACACATGAGCATTTTTAGTTTTGTTTTCTAATTTTTTTTATTGTAAAAGTGATGCTGCTGAAAAAATGGATGCATATATTGTGTTGTCTTTCTCTAGTGGTATTTCTTTAGGGTAAATCTCTAAAAGTAGAATTACCCTACTAAAAGGTAAACTTTTTATGGTACCTGATGTAATTGCCAAATTGTTAACAAAGATATATAGATGTATACTGCCTCCAATTAAGCTGGTTCCGCTGTCTAACTAGGGATTATTTTCATGTGTTTGTGATATTTCCTCTTGATAATTTATTCACTCACTTTCTTCATTTAACTTATGGGATCACTTAACAGTTTGGTTCTTTTCAGTGCTTTGGATAAATTAGATTTTTATCTAATATTATTGTTTTTTTCTTTTAGCTCCAGTAATAAACCGATTCACGAGGCGTGCCTCAGGTAAGTCTGACTGTATTATGGATTTTGCTTACTAACAGTGACTTTTTTTTAAATGAAAGCAGTATTAGACAAGAAGGTATGAAGAGAATAATTACTGTAATGATTTGTCAGTCACTTTCCCAAGTAATATGACCTCTGATATAATCAAGAACTAGGAAATAATTGGAAATATTTTCGAATTGGATGAACTTGAAATCACACTGTGTGCTGAGGCTAATGTACCTTTTCAAATGGAGACTCCCACCCCAATATTCATTCTTGTTCTTGATCCACTATTATGTGCATGGTTATCTGGTTGACTAGCCGAAGTTTAGAAGCAGTGATTTAGAAAGTTGGGTAAAGGACACTCTAGAAACAGTGATGGATGAGAGTTTTTAATAACAGCAAAACTTAAAATGCAGATACTGTAAGAACTTGTTTTCAGGGGGTCATTTAGAATTGGAGCAAATTGCTCTACATTTGTTAATGCCTCTGTGTTCATTGCTTTCTTAAAGATGCCACAGTAACTTAATGCATATTCACGGTGATAGATCTTAGCTTAAATTAGGTTCACCATACTGAGTGCTGTGTACAATGGTAGGGAAGTATAGGATACAGTCGAGAGCATTTCTATCCAAAATGGTTTAAGAAGAATGATTTTGGGCATTGAAATGGACAAACTATTATTTGGAAAATTTACCTTGGTGTAATACCTTCTTCTCTGAAGATAGAGGACAAATGAAGTGTTATTATGTTTGTTTTGAGGAAATTACTCTTTCTTTTTAAATGTAACTAGAATTTTTCATTGAAAAACATGAGATAAACATTTCAAACAGATCATCTTTGACATTTATATAATACAAATGACTAATTTATTTCATAAAATTACCTTATTTCCACCTATGCTATGTTATTAAAAGTGTTTTAAGATTGAGTTTTATTTTTAATTTATTGGCAGTTACTGATAAAATCTCCTCTTATTTTGTAGGCATATAAGGAAAAAGACAGGGATTAGAAAATATGCTATACTGGGATGGTACCTACTTTGCCCTCCAGAGCTTTTTGTAATCTCAAGGCACATTTATTTTAAATCTTAAAGAGTAGATTGTAATAACTTTTGTAGAATGAGAGATTATGTTTATGTCAGTAAGTCATCAGACTTTATTCCAAAGGAGAGCGATCAAGTATGATCATCGTCTAGTATAGTATGTAGTCTTTTATGAGCAGTGGTGGAAACAAAAGAGGAGCAATAAGGGAGAATCATTAGTGCAATATCTTGTCTTTCTGGTTTAAAATTCTTTCCATGGAAACATAGTTAGGAGTCTTAGAGTAAATAATCTCCTTTCCTTCCTTAAACCATATGACGTGAAATTTATTTCTGGGCAAGTTTCATTAGTATTTGTTGTACAATATATATATCATCAATTGATGGGTCAGGCTTCAGTAGATTACTTTTGAAACACCATTATTTTAGTCCCCTGCCACTAGTAAATCTGTGAGCAACGTATCTCAGCAAGACTTGGCTGAAAACGTAGATAAGATGGAATGCCAGCAAAGAAATAAACATTCAAGTCAAATGTTGTATTTATTCCTAGAATGACAGGCCATAGGAAATGTCAGTGAAAACCACAGGAAGCAATTTGATTTAAAGAAAAATAATAAGGTAATATCAAGTTCAATAGTTGTGTTATATATAGCAATAAGCCTTAAAAGGAGTAAAAGTTGTTACCCTAATAATAGCACATGCTGAACACAGTTATGACAATTAATCTTAACGTTCATTATTGGAAGGAAAAGAGAACTAATTTATAGAGTACCCCTATGGGTCAGGCATTAAGCATTTTATATAGCTAGGAATATATATATATATTTTTAAAACTTATTACGGGCTTCCTGTTTTGGAAGATTATTCTTTTTGGTAGAAAAATGGAAATATACCATTTATTGTTGTAATTATTAAAAATAAAAATAATTATTAAAAATAAGCTATAGTGGTAGATGTAGCAGCTCAGTAAAATTTTGAAGAGCAAAACTTTAAGCAAACCACAATATTATTTCTTCATTGTTCATTACTGTACTATATGGGAAAGACTCTAGGATGCGAAGTTATCCAAACAAGTTCAAACCACTCATTTACTTTGTGAATTTGTATGTACGTTATTTACCTCTAGTTTTACATTCCTATTTTCCTTTTCTTTCAGTTTGGGATCATAACTGCTATATTTAGACTTGTGATAGTTAAGTTAGATGGTTTTTATAAAGCAATGTGTAGGCTTTCAAAAATGTTCGTGGTCAGCCTTCTTCTCTTGAACATAGTTTGAAACAAAACAAAACAATAAAAATCTCTGCTCTGTGCCTTAGATGTTGTAAAAAAGCCTTAGAGAGTCATAACTATTTGATACTCATAGTTTAGTATGGGCATCTCTTCTATTGTTTGCATGTTACAATTTCTTAAAAGATTATAATGGTGTTCCTCTGTGGGGTTTTTTGGTTTTTTTTTTTTACTGAATTGGAAAAAAAAAAAAGTCCCAAAACGTTTCATTAATCTTGAAACAGTGCCTTGCCCCATGAGATCAGACCTTTCTCTGAATTATTTTAACCCCAGGATTTTATTTTGAAAAAAGTCAAGTTTATAGAAAAGTTTGAAGAATAATTCAGTGAACACCTTTATCTAGATTTCCCAATTGTTAATATTTTGCCACATTTGCACACTCTTTTTCTTCCTTCTTTACACATGCACGTACACATCCTTTTGTTTTTTTTTTTCATTGAACCTTTTAGGAATCCTAGATATTTCATGTGTGTCTCCTAAGAACAAGGACATTCTTCTATATAACACTCAATAAATTTAACTTTGATACAATGCTGTTATCTAATATACAGTCTAGAATCCGATTTCCTCAGTTTTCTTGATGTGTTCTTTCTCCTTTTTTTTTTTTTTTTAATTTGGGCTCATTCAAGGATTTTATATTGCATTTAATTGTCATGACTCTGATGTCTTGCCTTTCATAAACTGACTCCCTGAAATTTTTGAAATCTGTTGTTTTAGAATTCTGAAGGTTATCCCTAACAATGAAACAGTTTCCTGTATCGCCTGTTATGAGTTCTTCGATTGTACGGGTACATCCACCATCTGGTCACTGTGCCCCATCGATGTCCACGAAATCTTTGCGTTGATACTTGGTATTGTTTCCATGGACTACTGTTAAGCATTACTTTTTCAAATACATAATTATTTCTTATAATAGAAGTGAAAACCAAACTCTAAATTATGAATTTGTTAATTTTCTTGTGTAGATAATTAGCCACTCTTCAATTTTTTTAGCCATAACATGAGCATTGAACTTTATAGTATATTTTGAGCAGAGCTAAAATTTTATCCTAAACTAGCATTTAGAATAATTCAGAGGTGAAGTAAGTCTTTAAATCTCACATACCCACTGTGTAAAATGACATATTAAAAACTCAGTGAAATCACCCCAAACTGAAGATGACTAGTCCCCAAGAAAGTAGTGAAATAGCAGAAGTTCAGATCTTACCTTGAATCCAGTTCAGGGAACATATGCTCCCTTTTGTTTTGTTTGGAAATATTTTGTAGCTGTGGTATTCGTTGTTTTTCCTTTAAAGTTATTTAACCCCCCAATGTTTTATTTCCAGAGGTCATTCTAATATTGTTGAACTAATTTGCTAGTATGAATATATTTACATTTACATTTTGTTTTTGAAATGAGCATTTTGTAAGCTCAGTTCAGGCTTGGTAATCACCAACGCTGGATAATAATGTATACCTGTTAGTGTACTATGCTAATTAATTTACTAATTCATTCAGCAAACATTTACTGAGTGCCTACTGTGTGCCAGATACAGTGTTAGGGATACAAGAAAAGTCAGATACTGTCCTTGTGAAGTTCATAGTCTAGCAGGGAAGCTGGCTATGACTCAGTATGATAACTACCACAATATCCACAAAGGGAAAGGGAGAAAATGTATAGTTTTCCAGGGTGTGGCTCATAGATAGGGTGCCATTTGAGTTGGTCTTTAAATTAAGCCTTGTAACATGGGTTTGAACAAGAAAATAAGAGGCGCATTTGTGTCTTATCACTAATAACTGGCCATTTTTATTATAAAAAAGTCCTTTTTTATAGTATGCTCCTCTGTACTTTGCCTCTGCCATTAAGCTCCTGTGGCTTGGAGTAAGCAGATGCCAATGGCTATGGCCAGCAGAGGCTTAAGGCCTGGAATTATTTCTGCCTTTAAGTTAACATTCCTTCAAAATGTGTGTCTCTTTTACCAAGGGAGGTGGTCTGAGCTCTGGATTCACATAGACGTGGACTGCATTAATGGCTCTAGTATACACATGCCCGCTGGTTGAGAGAGAGAAAAAGAGAGAGAGGCGGGCAGCGGGGAAGGAGCGAGGGAGAGAGAGAGACAGAGAGACAGAGAGACAGAAGGATTGAGACAGACCTTAGTCACCTTTCTAATACTCAATGTCTCTAGTTAGAAATGCGGATAATACTTATCTCGCAAGATTGTTGTAGTGAAACAGTAGATACTCCATGAAAAACACTTAACAGTATTTTCTCCATTTTGGTTTCACAATATCAGCCTGTTGTCCAAATGTGTCTCCTGAATAGGCAGGTGCTTTCAGAAGCCTGCACAGGATACAGAGGTGAACAGAAGTAGCTTGTAGACTGCAAAGCTTGACAAGGAAAATTCACTAGAAAGATGACGCCCAGGGTGAGGCTGAAACCAAGAGCCAGACAGTTTACCTGAGGCAATAGGATGAAACCAGAGGTGCCAGCAGTGGGCAAGGGAGGTGAGAAGAGAGGGTGGAGAGTGGACCTAGAGAAATTCTCTGAGATCCCAATGCATAGTCCCTGGGATTCTTTATCCAGCTTCTCCCTTAGGTGGGGTGGAAGTGGCTTCCACCACTCCGTGCACCTGTTATCTCTCTTGCCCAGGCTGAAATTAAAACGGATTCTACTCTGTGAATTGTTATAAATAAAAACAAGTGAACAGAG